AGCTAGGCCACACATTCCCCTGCTGAAAAAAACATTTTCATAACTTTGAGATGGAGAAACCATTTCTAAGCATGATGCACAAAACCAAGAAGTCACAAAGGAAAAGACTAAATAAAAATGTAAAAAGTTTGAGCAGCAAAACACAGTATTTTTGAAATGTTAAAAGAGAAGCAACAAACAGGAAAACTATTGACAGTCTATAACAAAGGATTAATTGCACACAACATATATGGCTTAATATGTGCCAATAAATCAGTTAGGAGAATATGAACAATGGATAAAAGGAAGTCTCTTGATAGAATAAAGAGAATTAGTCAAGAAATATAAACAAATATATTCAAACTCACCAATCATTACAGAAATAAATTTAAATGTATTCATATTTATTGTACTTAGCATCTGTATTGGTTTCCTGGAGCTACTGTAACAGTACCACAAACAGGGCGGCTTGAGAAACAGAAATTGATCATCTCATGGCTGTGGAAGCTAGAAGTCTGTGATCAAGGTGTTAGCAAGGTAGGTTCCTTCTGCGGGCTGTGATACAAGATCTTGTTCATGCCTCTCTCCTAGTTGCTGGTGGTCCTCTGACAATCACTGGAGGTCCTTGGCTTGAAGATGCACTATGCCGACCTCTGCGTTTATCTTCACACTGTGTTCACCCCATGTTCATGGCTCTCTCTACGTCCAAATCTGCCTTTTTTATAAGGACGCCAATCGTGTTGGGTTAGGGCCTGCCCTAATGACCTCATTTCAACTGACTACCTCTTTGAAGACCCTATTTCTAAATAAGGTCACACTCTGAGGTACTGGGGGTTAAGGCTTCGACCTATGAACTTGGGGGACACAATTCAACAAGAGCAGCATCCATTAAGAAAAGCAGTAGTGTTGAATATTGGAAACTGTAGAGAAACAGTACTCTTGTATACAGCTGATAGAGTAGAATTTGTATAACATTTTGGAGATGAACTTGCTAGTATCTCTCAGAATGATATATTCTGAATGTGCATGTCCTTTTCTCTAGCAATTTCACTTTTATGAATTTAACAAAATCTAAAACAGGCAAAGTCAATATGAGAAAAAGAACCTTTAAAGGTAAGATTTTTGGGGCACCTGGGTGGCTCAGCCACTTAAGCTTTGGACTCTTGATTTGGCTCAGGTCATGATCTCAGGGTCGTGAGGTTGGGCTCCGTGCTCAGTGGGGAGTTTGCCTGAGATTCTCTCCCTCTCCCTCTGCCCCTCTTCCCAGCCTCTCTCTCTCAAATAAATAAATAAAATCTTTAAAGATTTGTCAGAGAGAGAGTGCACACAAGTAGGGGGGGCGGCAGGCAGAGGGAGAGAAGCAGGTTCCTGGCTGAGCAGGGAGCCCGATGTGGGATGTGATCCCAGGACCCTGGGATGATGACCTGAGCTGAAGGCAGGCACTTAACTGACCGAGCCACCCAGGCGTCCCAATCTTTAAAATTTTTAAAGGAAAGATTTTTAGGGGAATGGGGAGGATGATGTGTGAGGTAACGTTACCGTTTTCAATATAGCAGGTATCATGGACAAGTAGATTTCAATCTCCAATCTCAAAGCTGTTCTTCAACAATGAACCTTGCTAGGCTTGATTTGTGATTCTCTGAATAGCCCACGTGGGAACGGAAGGATAGCTACTTTATTTTCCTCTGGCTCTTTCCATTCCTGTAACCTGCAGAGCACTAGCTGACTAAGGTTGCCACATTTAGCAAATAAATGCACAGGACACCCAACTAAATTTGAATTTCAGATAAACAAAGAACATGTTTTGAGTATAAATATGTCCCATGCAATATATGGCACATACTTATACCAAACAAGTTATTCATTGCTTATCTTAGATTCAAATTTAACTGGACATCTTATTTTTCTCCGGCCATCTGACACCTGGCTCCAAACCCCACAGCAGGTGCGCCTGGCCTGGGGAAGCTAGGATGCTGTGACATGATTCCACTATATATCCCTTATTCAGGCCTGGTCTCAGTTATGCTTTTGCAAAACCTTCATAAAAAACAAAGAACAAACCATGTGACAGTTGCTGCAAACGCTGTACCAGGAGCTGGTCTCATGTAAATATGATGTTAATTAAAACAGATGGGTCTACAGCATAAACAAAACGACTGCAGGGGGCTGGTTTTTGTTCTGTCTGGGTTTCTTAATATAGTAACTCAGTTCCCATCTTGTTAGCACTCTTTCCTTATCAAGCATTGAACTGGGGTATAAGGAAGTTTAAATTACCAGTGATTGGAGATCCGTTTTCTAAACACTTGACACAGATGGTTTATTGCCTGAAAAGCTTGCTTCTTTTTGGGGAGTGGAGTGTTGAGCTTGGCTATTTCAGGAAAATGTTTTGTTGTAGCGCATCTACTGACGTCAGGTTTGCCACACTGATGAAGTGTGTCCCCTACAGCCACCCCCTCGCCCCCGGCTCTGTTCCTTCCATTGAGTTTGCCTACTGGGCAAAGGTCTCATTTTTAGTGTCGCCTGCTTGCTTCTTCAACATTGCATTGGGCAAAAGCCTACTTACTCCTCCTGCAGAAACCTCTCGCAGCTTCCAAAAAAGAGCAATAACCATGCAGAAGATTTTTGAAAATAAATGTCATTTGAGAGTCTACAATTGATAAAGTTGGATGCTCTCCTAACTGAGCTGCAGGGAGCCTAACAAAAAGATAATTTCCTTTTTGGCCATTTTTTAGCGATCTCAGACGAGTCCAGGGTGACATGTTCCATTTAGGTGTCACATCTTTTTCGTCTCTTTTAATCTAGAACAGTTTCTCAATCTATCTTTGCCTTTCATGGATGGGTTTGAAGAGTACAGACTAGTTATTTTGTAGCATGTCCTTCTCATGGGTTCGTGTGATGTTTCTGCACTCAGGGTCAGGTTAGGTTACACATGTTAGGCAGGAATACTCATAAGGTGTTAGCACCAGATTTTCTAGCACATTCCCATGCGGTGCAAGAAAGTTGGCCCTGTGTCCTGTGAGTAAACTTTTCTGCCAAATCCTGATTTGACCATGGTGCTTCCTGCCTCCCACCAAAGAATCTCAAATTGAACTGAATGGCTTAAATTTTTTGTAAGATTCTCAGAATCACATTTAAGAGTAAGAATGGATTGAGGTGTCCATGTGTTTTGGGGTTTCCTTCTCGGAACGAGATGAGCACTTTGGCTCTGTGCTAACGGTCTGAGGAAGGTTAAGAGAGGGCAGGAACTGGTTCTTGTAAACTGACAGTTCGGGAGAGTGAGTTGGAGATAATCGCATAATCCATTTATAACCACCCAAGTTAACAAGCTCTCACCTTCTCCAAAATAGGCCCCTTATTTACAAATAGTCACTTCTGGCCCAAAAGTGGGCTCCCATCCACGTGACTAAAGTCACATGCAGCCCTGCCTCATGGCCTTATTTTCCTGCAACACCACCAAGACCAATTCCCACTAGGAACGCCATCAGAAACCGTATTCAATGCATAATCCGAGCTTTGAAAATGTTTTCTCTCACTCTGTAAACACACTGTCCCCCAAGATAACTTGCAGCTGTGTCTCCCCAATTTGATCCCAGGCTGTCTCAGTAGATAAGAAACTCCTAGAATAATGGTGGCTGGCCCTATGGCGCCATGCTCAGGTCAGACCACATGTGGAGAATGGGTCCAGGCACCACCCTGTGAGAGACAACCACAGATGGAATTGTTTAGGGAACAGAATGAATAGGTTGCTAAAGAATTCAAAATCAAGTCAGAAGAACGGCTTTCCAGGCCTTTTTAGTCCAGCCCTGGCCCGCGCCCCATCTTGGGTTCTCAGCTCCCTTCCCTTCACGACTCGAACTCTTGTCCTGGCCTTATCAGTTCTCCTGATCCTGAGGGACAAAGACTGTGCTCTCTGCTGACACTTTTGTCAGATAAAGCCTACCAGCCGGGACATCAGAAGATTCTCCCCAAAAGAGGTACACGATGATTGTCCGATAGAAGGAATTTTAGTTCACCTGGCTCTGTCTCTATGGCCTCCCAATCCCACATTCTACCATAGAAATGAACTTCCTTCCAGAACAGGCAGCAGGGTCTGTCAGTCCACCAGGCCCGCTATCCACTCAGGGGACAGGCCCTGGTCCAGGTGCAGACCTTCTGTTTCCATCTGGCTGAGGGAGCTCGCTGTGTCTGGCTCTGTGCTCAGAGGCACATCATTGCAGGAAATGGGAACAGTGGATCCAGAAGGACAGGAGAGCGATTTGCATGCCTAGAGGCTGTCATAAAGATGGATTCGATGTGTATGTGCCCCGCCCCAGACTTGTGAACTGGGAAGTTATGAGGGACAGAGGAGACACTTCAATTCCATAGAAGGAAGAGCTCCCCGTAACTTTCTGCTTACCTTTGTTTCTCCTACAGTGACTTGTGCACATAGTGACCTCCACGATTGGATAAATAGAGTACAATCGAGGCAGAGCCCTCTAAAACTGTAATAGGTGCCTTTAAGGAGGTATGGCACTCCCTTCTCTTTACTAATATTTGCAGAAAAGATTGAAAGTACTTTGGTGGGCTGCTGGGGGCAGTTAATAGTAACATGTTTACAAGTCTGTTCTAGCCTGAGATTCTATGATGTTCAATAATCAAATTTCAGTGAAACTTGGCTTGAATGTGCTTCCCTAAGTAATATCTCTTTCATCTGCGTCATTCTAAATTCAAAGAAGAAATATTTCTCGGTTGTGGACCAAGAAGAGCTCAGTTCATTTTCTAGCTATGTCTCTGGCATTCATGGGATTTACAGAAAGTTGTGTGAGATGGGAGAACCACATAACAGAAGCTCGCTCTCTGGTTTAGAAGCTAAAGCCAGGACACTGTTTCTTCAGGCCACTGCTGTTCTACTAATACAGGAAGAAGTTTTAGTCCACCTGGATTTACTGTGAGATGAAAACGTAAAAAAAAGGGGGGAGGGAGTAGGATTAGGGGGGAGTGCAAAAGGCATTTCATCTTAAGGAAAAATAAGTTGCAAATAATTATGGTCAAAATAACGTTTCCATTTTATTTAACACGATGACTCTGAATGTACACATTTGGTTTATGAACACAGTGTAAAATATCTTCATCTTCGTTTAGTCTAGTCATTACTACAGAAATTTGGACATAAATGATGAACACGTTTTACACAAGAAAAGAAATGTGCGTGCTTTTTAGCTGGTTGTGCGTGACTGTGGTTTTGGCGGGTTTCCCGTTTGTCAGATGGGCAGGAGCGCGCACACCTCCCCCATGCGATCAAGCCGTTCACACACAAAACAAGTGCTTGTGTGTGAGACAAGCATGCCCAGCACAACAAACGGTCATTCCTAGATGAGGCTGTTGACTTAGGATACATTTCCACATCCAGAAACACCCTTTTTTATGCCGCTGGTGTACATTACGTACTTTTCTTCCACCGACTGTGTGAAGTCAAATGTCCTTGTTGGAAGTGAGAAAATGCACAGACTTACAGCCGTGTTCCTTTTTCACCAGAACTGCAAAGGGTGAGGTATGGTCCACAGTGACTCTGTGAAAAGGTCCACCACCCTTAGAAAAGGCAACATCCCTTCTGCGCTACAGACAACTTGTAAATGGCTTTGCCACAAAGCTTCTGGGCTTTATAGGCTGTTGATGGGTCCAGTACGAAGTAATATGTAAAATTCCTTTTTGTGGAAATCTGTTTTACCTGAAGAATATAGATTCCAAACAAAACCAAAACACGTACTAACAGTTCTGGGAAAAGTATTTACCATTAATTTCTTGGGCCAAAAATTACACTCAGGGAAAGAAATTATGCATTTTGAGGCTGACTCCCTTGGGAATCCCTAAATCAACTTTTTTTTTTTTATATTTATAGAGTAATTGGTCTAATTACAAATGGATTTGTCCAAGTGGGTCTCTGAATTGGTGGTCAGTGAAGGCAACGGATACAATCAGGAGGAAGCACCTAGTTTGGGGAATGAAAAGCCCAATTAAACTCTGCCTCCACTCACTGACCCGCAATCCCAGCCCCTCACAGCCTGACAATATTCGCCTCTCACGGAAAAATGACAACGTATTGGTTAAATGTTTTCTGGAACGCCTACACTTCAGTTAAAACTACAGTATCCAGTTAAAACTATACTATTTACAAATGAGTAAATACGCCTCGGGGCTCACAGCATGCCTGCAAGACACAAATATACAAAGTGATGGCAAGCTTATTGCAAGTCCTCTTAAAGTAACAGGAAATTTTGGTGCAAAAAGGCAGATGAAAATACAGGCCATAAATTGTAAAGGAGCCATACTCTGAGGAAGGCATTATTTGAAAAGCACTGTTCTATCCAAGAGGGAGTCACAGACATTAAAAATAAAATATTTGATATTCTACACTATATTACAAAAATAAATATATCCATCAATAAATAGTTAAGAAGCCTAGAAACTTTTACATGAATATTTTGGTTGTTGGCTGTCAAAGTCCCTCTGCTACACTCCTTCTCGAGAGTCATTTAGGTGTATCAACTTCAGTGATGATAATTCTTCCATAAAAGAGTAAAAAAGACTGGTGTGGCATGCAGCCAAGGCCTACGACCAGAGAGGACATTTAGTGACTCCTACTTCCTAAGGATCTGACAACTTCATGGCTTCGTGTTAATGCAGTGATGGAGGAGAGGTGCAGACATGCTGCAAGGCGCCTGATTTGGGGGGGGGGGGTCTCCTATTTATAGTTTATGGCTTTGCATTTCTTGATGAAAAAAATGCAACTAGCAACATTTGGAGAACCAATATGTGGCTTTCGGTACTCTTTTTCCCTAGCGAGGAAATCAATCATAGAAATGCATGTTTATGTCTGGCCTGTAGTATAAGGACAAACATCTGGGATACACAGCCTAACCACTGACAGCCTAGATGTTCACACGTCTTTAACAGAAGAGTGATTATAAACGCTTGCCACAAGGTTTTCCCCAAAACCTGGCCGTGTCGGCAGAGAGCACGCAGAAAGCAGGGTCTGGCACATCCTAGTGTCCTAACATCAGCCTGCTAATAACAAGTGGGTGCCAGGGCCTGCCCACGTGTCTCCTGAGAGCAGCCTGCTCCGTTTTCAGGAATTTTGCAAGCCGCTTGATATCACATGGGTAGCCTGAAAGAGGCTCTGGTGAGAGTATTTACACCATTGAAATCTACACATCAAGAGGACTGGCCCTAAAGCATTTACCAGCACATCAGTGTCATATATATTTTACACAGAAAGAAGATTTTGCTTGATTTTTATCTAACCAGAACTATCCTGCTCAGCTGAGGTTTTACTTTATGTCTATTATAGACAGTGTCCTTTAGAAAGGAGAAGCAGTACCATAGAGTAACTGAGTACACAGTGTGTACCATGGATATAAAGGATGCATCACACCCCACTGAGGGCTCTAAGTGTGGCTATCCAAAGGCTGTTACACACACACACACACACTCATGCACTCATGCACACCATTTTATATGGAGGCTCTTTCATAAATGAATGATTCTGAGTTGTGTGGCCATCTCAAATTGTCAATCACTGTATATTCACTGATGGTCAAAACTGCACTTTTGTGGGGCAGTGAATTCCCAGGATCTGCCCTCTGGACATCAGTGGACAGTGGATGTACAGAGCAGATGTCCAAATTGGGCAAAATGTCCTTCAAAATAGCTTCCCTTACCTCTATTTTCTAGTGCAATATGAGTTTATAACCCCAAGAGGTTTGTGAAAAGGAAGCTGATGGTTTCCCAGGGTAAAAAAAAAAAATGCAGGACTTCTTAAGGAAGCATTCAACGGGGTGAATGGGGGACAATGTACTGGAAACTGCATTCCTAGAAGTGTGAACCATCAGTGTCAGATGCCTGGAGGAGTCAAAAACAGTTTGAGAACTGCACTGCTCTGGTTCTTCCTGCACAAAGCCCATGATCTTGCATCGACGGTGGTGCTGGGGGCTGCTAAGATCAGAGCCAGAGTCTCCATGTCCTTCCAACTAACCAACTGCCGGCAAACCCATTAGACCATCCTCATCAAGAATGCTTCCCAGTCCCTTAGTCCTGGTCAGTTCCAAACTGGAAAGACTGCTGCAGAATGGGAGGACTGGGAAGCCTCCCATGGGGCAAACTTGATTTCAAAATTCGGGCTTAGCTTTGGAGTCATTTGCGTGTGTGTCTATTTATTAATTCATTTATTTAGAAGTATCCTTTTAGACCCTGGTTTGGTTTTTTTTTTTCTCTTATACTTAAGTGTTCTTCATGAACAAAACATTTCATAAAGAATCTTACCAGAATAAAATCAAATTAAATATTGGGAGGAAATCTAGACATTAGAGCACTAACTCCACTCACCGTGACAGCAAATGCTTTCAGGTGTCCCCTCCCAACCCACAGCAAGGGCAATGAAGGCCAGTGAAGACAGGGAACACAGGAGTGAGAGAAGGATACGGGGCACTGGGGCAAGAGAGAAAGAGGGAAAGAGAGAGGTGGAAAGAAGCAAAAGCAGAGCTGCAGAGGCGAGGGAAAAATATGAAGAATTGAAGCAAAATATTAAGAAGAGTCCAACAGACAGATCCCTTCTGATTTTCCTCCTCTTGGTCTCGGGTAATTTTATTTTGTCCAAAAGATTTAATTCTGCAGTTAAAACTGTTTATAATTTTACACACGCATCCTAGGATAGCATCTGTGTCCTTTCCCCTCCTCCTCTGCGAGTGCCCTCCCCACCTCCTCTACCCTCTGCAGCGGTGAAGGCCAACACACCAGGCCTTGCGATCCTATTATCTCAGGAACGTCCTGAAGGCCCCTCTGTTTTCTTTTCTTGACCAGGTGCTGCCCTCTAGAGCGCAGTGGTGCTCCGTGGGCTCATCCTTTGCTATGGTAGCTTCAGGCCACTGCCTCTGGAAACCATCTGGTTTCTGTATTAAATAACCCCTCCCCTCAAACATGCAGCATCCTTTACCTGGTCCTGCTGCTCTGAGCAATGGCACAAACTCAACTGATAAATGCTACACCTACATATCCAACAGTATTTGGGAAATGTAATGCTTCCTAGGCGGGTGAAATTCTTGGTGCTAATTATCTTGACATAAATCCTACTCAGAGAAGAGTTGACTGAGAACGTACCATTGGTTTTTAATATATACACATTTGATTGAGTCATGCACACGTGTGAGTATAATCCACCTCTATGGAACCGAAAGAGCTTTGTGAGTTTATCTATGTACACATATACATACACAAATATCTACCATCTGACACGCTCTTTCTGCTTGGGGCTTGTTGTTTTCAAATTGACCTAGAGGACAATTAGGGGGGCGTGCCCCTTGCTATTGGAAATGGCATTGCCAAGAAACGGCAAGTCCAAAGAAAAACAGATTGGAAGGGATGAGACTGTATTAGCAAAATATGCATTTCGTACAACAAACTGACCTGCCCATTTCCGTAAGGCAGCAAGCCTCTATGATCTGTACACTCTTATTAAATAATCTCATTAAATAGGAACACAAAATATACACATTTACAGTTATTAAATAAGCACAGGACTCCTCTTCTATCTACAGCCGCATTCGGAGACTGCCATGCCTTCATATTTGAACTTGTAGGTGACAACGCCCTTGTCTAAATAGAGGATGGAGATGGGCTCTAGTTTGGTGGGCACACAGCAGGCTTTGGAAGCCTTTTGGGAATTCTTGAGGTGGACCAAGGCCTGGATAATTGCATGCTTTGTGGGTGTGAGATGCTCTGCCAGGGGGTAGTTGCAAACCCCACGGCATTCGTAGGCTTCGTATCCAGGTGGGGCGATGATCCAAGAGTCCCAGCCAATCTCCTTGAAGTCAATGTAGAGCGGGGTCCTCTTACAATAGTTTCCTTTAGCGTTCCTTCTGATGCGGGCAGTGGAGTCATAGATGATGTTTGACCTCATCTGCAGCAAAGCTTCTTCTCCCGGCCCACTGGAATAACCGTCCAGGCCCAAGTGGTCAAACTCCAGTAGTTGCTCATGGGCGATCATTTCATTCAGTTCCTCCTTCCGCTCCTTCTCGCTGCTCTGGTCATCAGAAAACACGACAAGCAAGGGGACATGCTTATTCCGGGCACTGGTGTCTATTTCCAATTGTCCCCTGCTAGCATCCTCGGCTCCGTCGTGTCTGCTCTCGATGTGGACCTCCAGCTGGTGGGTGGATGAGCCTGACTTTTGCCAACGTCTAATGGCATCGGTGACATCAAAAGTCTCCCACTCACTGTTGGTTCCATAGATCTCCCCCGACACCAAGACCAGCATGCTTCTTTCACCCTCAATGTCCCCTCTGCTCTCAAGTACCTCAAAAATGGTAATTTTCCGGTCTACTCCATCATATATCATGCGATCTCTTTGCACCAGGGTGTACAACCTGAGTTCGGCCATGATAACCTCTTCATGGTGAGGAATGGACACATTGAAGAGGAGAGGGTATTTTCGGAGCCCGTTAAAACTGGCTGGCTGGGAAAACAGATCTGAAAAACAAAAATCAGATTTGTAGTATGTCACAGAGGAAAACAGATGCTTATTTATGCAATAGGAGGGCCTATCTGTGCGGGAAGCTTGATACAGAGGAATGAGGGGGACGATCAATGAAAACAAACACAATGTGAGATTTCTCCGACAGAAAATACTGAAAGGTCAATGGTAGAATGCTAAACTGACTTAAGCTGCCAAGATTAAGACAGAAAGTGGCTGCCTAATGAATGGGAGAACACTCTCTCAGCCTTGCTTGCATAGCTTATCGGCCACAGAATTACAGAGCTGGGAGGGACCCTGGAGATTGTGCAGGCAAGCCCCCAATTTTCCTAACCAGTACAGAGCCATCAATGGAACATGGGGTGGTTGCTCTTTTTTGGAAGCTTTTCAGGGATGAGCACTTCGTGGCTCATCTTTGCATTCATATTTGCATTCATAATAGGTGAAGATTCCCCACATGGTTGGCCGAGCACTGGTCTTCCTAAAAGACCTCCACGTAGATCAGAGGTTGGTAAACTGTAGCCCGTGGGCCGTATTGGGCCTGCTTCCTATTTCTGGAAATAAAGGATCAGGGGAGCACAGCGTGGCCCATTTATTTCTGTGTTGTCAATGGCTACTGTTGCAATACAATGTCAGAACTGCGACAGCACATGGCCCACAAAACCTAAAATATTTACCATCTGTCTGGCCCTTTACACAAAGAGTTTGCTGACTCCTTCTCTAGACACCAAAGTCTGACAAGGTCAACAAAATAGCCATAAACCAAGGGGGTCACAGCAGTTGAATTTTGGGTGTGTGGTCTTCAACAAGGAGGAATGGGAGAAAACGAACCTTGGGATAGATTGGTTGCTTTAGTCTTGTACCCTTAGCGACTGGCATGGAGTTTGGCACATAAGAATCACTCAGAATGTTTATGAAATAAATTGTTACAGGTCCTTTAGTCTCAGAAGCACACCTCCAGATATTATCATGTTGACTTCCTATCTGAGAATTTTATAGGAGCCCAAAGCTCTTGTATACTTGCCCCTGGTAATACATGACTACAAAATATCCCTGAAGGCTTTTGTCATCCATCAAAGGGTTCCATGACACCAGAGTGCTAAAGACCACCAACTGAGGGGTTCTTTGTCATCTTTGGCAGTGTTTTCCCAACTGTATACCCGATTCATTATTTTAGTAGGGTCCCTGTTCCAGATTGTACTCTTTAATATTTTTCTTTATATGATTATTTTTATACTTACTATCTCTTTTAGGCCTGTCCTAAGGAACAACATTCATGAAATGAGGGCACTGAGGTGATTGTCATGTGGATTTTTTTTCTGATCCACATTAATTATTTCACATGATTCGTAGGTTTCTCTGTGAAGGGTACCACTTAAAATCATCTCATACTCTGCCAGTGGGAAATACTGGCCAATGAGATGAATTGAAACACTAGCATGACCCTTAAAACTAGCTATAACCAGGCCTTACCCTCTTGATCTAGTCATAGTTCCCATTCATCCCCTACAGTGCATGGAACATTGTAATTGAACAATTGATATTTGTAGAAAGGTTCAAGAAACCATAAACCCGCCTAGTTAGGGTAGACAGGTATCTTCACCATTTGCCAAAACACTCCTTTGCCTTGCTGTACACCACACCTCTGGAGATGTGCTTCTGACTCTTAGAAAGCCTCCTCTCCTCCCCTCCACCTCTCTAGCTGTGACCCCTCCTTGTGGGACTTTCCCTTCTTCACCTCCCTATCTAGAAGTTTACTGCCTTCTGGGTCACTTGAATATTTACTCTTTTTTTTTTTAAGTTTTTATTTAAATTCTAGTTAGTTAACATCTAGTGTAATATCGGTTTCAGGTGTAGAATTTAGTGATTCCAATATTTACTCTCTATATCTCTCCTTTGAGCTTTGCCATTTCAGTTTTCTTTTTATGAATGGGTCTTCCCAACCAGATTGTCAATCATGCTGGCAGAAAGCCCAGCTTAAACTCCTTCTATGCCCCCGAGCTACCACGATACCTTAAACAGAGGCAATGTTTCCAAAGTATTAACTAGTTGATGGTTCTGGACATCAAATCAAATTGATTTATGGGCATGGCATAGGTCCTTAATACATCAAGTAACTTGGGAGTTGACCCCTCTTATAAGAAAAAAGAGACTTGACGCTCGTAGGACAGGGAGCATGAGAAGACCAAAAGTGGGGGAGTAGACTGGTTGCTCTGTCCATGAGAAAAGTGCAAAATAAAAGCTCATGGTAGTGGGAGGAAGGGATTAATTACAAAGAAGCACAAGGAGACTTTTAGTGGTGATGAATATGTTCACTATCTTGATAGTGGTAATGGTTTCAGTGGATGTTTATATATGCCAAAACCTGTCAAATTATACACTTCAAATAATACAGGTTATTGTATGTCAATTATACATCAATAAAGTTGTTAAAAAAATAAGTTCACTGTGCAAATATACAAAGTATTATATGGAGGTGTTGTGTTCTGGGCAAGGGAACTGATGTTATTGAGCATATTTAAATGTGCCAGTGTTTTGCAAACACTTTCATTTAGTTCCTACAATGACCATTTATTGCTATTGTGTTCGTTTTACACCAGAAGAAATCAAGCTTCAATGCGGAGGACTGACTTCCCCAAGATGACAAAGTGAGGTCAGAAGTGGTAGGAATTAAAGTCATGGTTTTTCTACTTTAGAGGTGCATTTGTTTTTCCCTGATCAGTTAGATTTGGAAGAGGGGTTTTTTTGGTTTTGGTTTGGGGGGGCAGGGCGGGCTTGGTTATTGTCTCCAAGGCAGCTGCACTGTGCAGACCCAAAGAGTCAAAAGAGAGACAGGGACAACCATTAGAGTCAGCCCGGTGCAGGATTCATGTCCTCGGGGCTGCGCATTCCACCCGCAGAGCAGCAGAGATGCGGGCAGCTGGGTGGCCACAGACAGATCCGCTCCCGCTTTCACTGGTCTCCGGTATTAAGACCCCCTGGAGGCGCCTGGGTGGCTCAGTCGTTAAGCGTCTGCCTTCGACTCCGGTCATGGTCCCAGGGTCCTGGGATCGAGCCCCGCATCGGGCTCCCTGCTCAGTGGGAAGCCTGCTTCTCCCTCTCCCACTCACCCTGCGTGTGT